TCATAACCTGTTTGTGCAGGAAAAAGCTTGCCCAGCGTCTTCAGGATGCAGAGGAGTCCATCGAGGCCGTGAATGCAAAATGTGCCTCTCTGGAAAAGACTAAGCAGAGACTGCAGGGTGAGGTGGAGGACCTGATGATCGATGTGGAGAGAGCTAATGCTCTGGCTGCTAACCTGGACAAGAAGCAAAGGAACTTTGACAAAGTACAGTATTTATTTTTGCCTTTCACTTCGACCACAGGCAATAGAATTATGAGTTAGTGAAATAAATGAGTTATCTTTATGTTTTAAGGTTCTTGCAGAGTGGAAGCAGAAGTATGAGGAAAGTCAGGCTGAGCTGGAGGGAGCTCAGAAGGAAGCTCGTTCTCTCAGCACCGAGATGTTCAAAATGAAAAATTCATATGAAGAAGCTCTGGACCACCTGGAGACCCTGAAGAGGGAGAACAAGAACCTGCAACGTATGCAAAGTTTTATATATTCACGCAACTAAAAAAAAAAACAAAAAAACTGTGGTCTAACTTTGCAGAAAGTTACACATTTAACCACTGATTTTTTTCTTGGTACACTCAGTTTTATAAAGCTGTCTTGTTTTTTGTATGAAACAACAGCTTGAGGCTAGTGTGCCCCCCAGTGGAGCAACAGACTTAATGTGCACGGTCTTAAATAATGAACTAACAAATGTGACATGCAACAAATACAGTTCTTAAATCTAAGTGTCCCCCAAACTAAACATCTATTTCAGCTCAGACTTAAAACTCAAACAATTTATTCCGTGTTTGGTACAGAGGAGATCTCAGATCTAACTGAGCAGATTGGTGAGACTGGAAAAACCATCCATGAACTGGAGAAGTCGAAAAAGACGGTCGAGACAGAGAAGTCTGAACTCCAGACTTCTCTTGAGGAGGCAGAGGTACTCTATGACAAAATACCTCCAATCAAACACAGCTGACATTTTTTTGCTGGGGCTACATAACACGTTTATATTTGTGTCAAGGCTACCCTGGAGCACGAGGANATCCAAAAATGTATTATTCTATCAAAGATTTTAAGATCAACCATCAAGAAGTTCGGCTCAGAACAAGTAAAAATCTCACCATGGTGTACAAAAACTAATAATCCTGGATGCTTTGCTCCTCCACAGGAAGGACTTTGAAACAAGCCAGCTTCTTAGCAAAATTGAGGATGAGCAATCACTTTGTGCTCAGCTTCAGAAAAAGATCAAAGAACTTCAGGTTGGTCGTGAAACTTAACATCATCTATGAGGAACAGCAGTCCACTGAATTTGGATTGTTCAAATGTGCTTGGGGTGCAAATATAATATAATGCAGCTGTGTTTCTTTCTTCTAGGCTCGTATTGAGGAGCTGGAGGAGGAGATCGAAGCTGAGCGAGCTGCTCGGGCCAAGGTGGAGAAGCAGAGGTCTGATCTCTCCAGGGAACTCGAGGAGATCAGTGAGCGGCTGGAAGAAGCTGGTGGAGCAACGGCCGTTCAGATCGAGATGAACAAGAAGCGCGAGGCCGAGTTTCAGAAGCTGCGTCGTGATCTCGAAGAGTCCACCCTGCAGCACGAAGCCACGGCCGCAACTCTGCGCAAGAAGCAGGCTGACAGCGTGGCAGAGCTGGGAGAACAGATTGATAACCTCCAGAGAGTCAAACAGAAGCTGGAGAAAGAGAAAAGCGAATACAAGATGGAGATCGATGACCTCAGCAGCAACATGGAGGCTATCGCTAAAGCCAAGGTACTACAGAGTAAAAAAAACTCCCAGAGTCAACTTAGACGACTCTGCTGCTCTGATTGGGCCTTTATTGTTAGATTATGTTATATTTCTTTAGATCGACACAGATTTTTGTTCATTTCAGGCAAATCTGGAGAAAATGTGTCGCTCTCTTGAGGATCAACTGAGCGAGATGAAAACCAAAAATGATGAACATGTGCGACAACTGAATGACATTGGAGTACAAAAAGCAAGACTGCAAACAGAGAATGGTGAGAACATTTAGATTTTATCTTTGTTTTCTGGTCTTAATTTCAAATTTTGGTATTTCTTCCGATAAAATGCCCATATGTGCATTTGGATTCTAACTTTATGTCTCACCTCAGGGGAATTTAGTCGCCAGCTGGAGGAGAAAGAAGCCCTGGTCTCTCAGCTGACGAGGAGCAAGCAGGCTTACACTCAGCAGACTGAGGAGCTCAAGAGGCACATTGAAGAGGAGGTTAAAGTATGTACACATTAAAAACATTATCACAGAACTGCAGGGCTGCATGGTTAAAACAGTTCAAAGCTTCAAATCAGGCACATTTCAGTTTTAAAAAAAAACCTTTAATTCTTTGCAAGGCCAAGAACGCCCTGGCTCATGCTGTCCAGTCGTCCCGTCACGACTGCGACCTGCTCAGAGAGCAGTATGAGGAGGAGCAGGAGGCCAAAGCTGAGCTGCAGCGTTCAATGTCCAAGGCTAACAGCGAGGTGGCTCAGTGGAGAAGCAAATATGAGACTGATGCTATTCAGCGCACTGAGGAGCTGGA